GGTACCCCGTTTGCCGGCCCCCCGCCCGCCGCCTGCCCCAGCCGTAAGACTGACACACACACACAACGACTGACGCTGACCCCTCTTTTTTTTTTGTTTTTTTACTCATATACATATACTGTAGACACTAATCTCTTCAGCTGTGCCCCCCCCCACACCCACCATATAAACCTCTTTGGGTGAAAACCCCCAATGAGACAAAGAAGCCCTGACACAGAGACAGAAGAGAAAAACAAGTCGCTCTGATTAAATCCACGTGGTTAAGCCAATAGGAGCTAAAGGGACAACAGTGACTCAAAACTGAGTCACAGTCTTTATTGTTTATCACCAACAGTGAGTCCATAATCCACCAGGACGGACGGACACCAATATCATGGCTCGGGTGGATTAAAAGGTTACAAGAAAAACATCTTAGAACAATAAGCAAATAAATATAAATATACTGCAAAATAAATACAGTGTTTTTCTACTTGAAGATAATTTAAGGTTATTAAACTTAAAAATGTTAAAAGGAATTTTTTAAAAGGAATTTTAACGATCTCCTTTTCTCTCTTTAAAAAAAAAAGTTAAAATACTTTTGTTTGTCTTTTTTTTCTCCAGCCGCCTTAAACTTTTTCAGGACTAGCTGTAAGATAGTTTGAGCCGCCTTAAACTTTTTCAGGGCTAGCCGCAGGCTAGTTTGCGCAGCTAACTTAAGTTTTTGTCGCTATATTTTTTTTTTTACATTTCAAGTTTTTTACATTTCAAGTTTAACTTAAGTTTTTGTCGCTATAATTTTTTTTTCCATTTCAAAATGTTTCCACATTTTCATCTTTTTGTGCCAAAGTTTCAGTAACTCACCTCTGCTAAATTCTCCACATAATCAGAGCACTAATTTTCAACAATTTTCCAATATTTTTCTGTCAACTGTTTAAAGGCTAACAAAAAAAAAAAGAAAAAAAAATGTCTTCAACTCTATTACAAAAAACATGATTTGTTTTAATATTAATACTTTATCTGTGAAATGCTGGACTTTATATTTAGCTAACGTATTTGATTAGGCAGAAAAACTGAAGGACAATTAGCCACTCATCAAGAACAACTCCAACTCTGCCTGGAGGGATTTTTGAGCTAATGGACATGTAGGGTAATCTCTGAGGAATAAAATCTGGGTGTAAAAACTTTCCTTGTCACTCACGTCATTTCAACATTAATCTAAACAGGTCAAGGTGTAATGAAAAATGAAACGATCATTTCAGAACTGCCTCACAGGCTTCAAGTTCTACGGAGAAACCAATGCATTGTTCCAAATACTTCAAGCCGGTACTGCATTGTACTACAGTACACGTCCTACAGTGGGTTCCTAGGACGACAGCGATGATCTCACCAGGACACAATAGTCTCACAGGGAATAGATGAAGTCATGAGATGGAATTAGACTCGTGACACATCCAGGAAAATTCAGAACAATCACAACAACAACAACAGTCCATGTACAGCTTTTAAGGACTGATGTGAAGAAAAAAAATAAAATCTAATCTAAAAGTTTCAACCACAACCAGTCACAAGTCAAACTACCATGATGTCATTCTTATTCCTAATCTCAACTCCAGGCCAAACTGACCACTTAGTGTCCAGCAGGAGTCAATCTGTTCAGGGATTATGAGTGTAATCCTGTATTGCAGTCCCACACGTACACACACACACACACGAAACCCCAGGGTGCCACCGCGTCGGCCGCACCAGCTTTTGTGTCTGATATAATAATAACAATAAGGAACAGCCTTTGTGTCTGGGCGAGAACAGACGAGGACAGACGAGGGACCTGCACCTGCACCGTGAGAGACACCGGGGGACGTTCACACACCTGAGCATCAACGTCTCACAGTCCCCACCCTGCCTTCATCAGCAGATCTCACACACGCAGTCCCACACGTACACACCAGAGAGCAGGGGAGAGAGAGGGAGAGGGAGAGAGAGAGAGAGAGAGTGAGAGACAACGGCAGGAGCTGGCAGACTCCAGCGAACACAGAGACACCAGGAGGGGCGGACAAAACCAACAGATGTTTGTAACGAGGGAGGAGGCTCAGAGCCTGCGCAGGAGATTTATGTGACATCAGCGGAGGAGACGCTGACTGGACGAGTGCCTCGGCCAATCACAGACGCAGATAAGGGCCCTGGGTTTCAGCACCTTTGGCAGGTTCAATAAAAGACATTAAAAACAATTTAATCTTTTTTTTTTTTTTACATTTTTCACAAGCTGAATCACGACTAAACCTCCATATTCTTTTTTGTTTGTTTGTTTAACAAACATACATGTTTGTTTGTTTACATTATTATTATTATTACATTACATACAGTTTTCTTTACCTACTTTTTACAGGTATATGCTGTATTTTTAGGAGATATTTCACCTTTTTTCTAGGCAAATATTTGAAGATCTTTTGAGGGTATATCTCAGGTAACATTGAATTATGCTTTAATATATATTTCAGGTTATATATTTCTGGTAACTTATAAGTTTCCTTTGGCTAACTCTGGGACACCTTCTGGTCAAAGTTGACCTTTGTAGTTAACTTTTTTCACAAGCTGAATCACGACTAAACCTTTGACCGTTTTCAATTCATATTATTTTTTGTTTGTTTGTTTACAAGTTTTCTGTACCTACTTTATACAGGTATATACTGTATTTTTAGGAGATATTTCACCTTTTTTCTAGGCAAATATTTGAAGATCTTTTGAGGGTATATCTCAGGTAACATTGAATTATGCTTTAATATATATTTCAGGTTATATATTTCTGGTAACCTATAGTTTCCTTTGGATAAACTCTGGGACACCTTCTGGTCAAAGTTGACCTTTGTAGTTAACTTTTTAACTTTTAACCAAATCCTTTTTTCCTCAGTAAACTATTAATTAACTATTTCAACGACTAACTTTTGGTAATTTTCTGGCACAATCTCAACTTAGTTTGATTCATTGTAGCCATTTTTTATTTATCTTTTGTTTATTATTGACAAACTATGAGCTTTGTTCAGGTTTTATCAAGGGTTTAATTTGTAAAAAGTAAATAATTATAATAAAACAAATGAAATTAGACATTATTTATGCCCCTTATTACCTTTAGAGTTTCAGAAGTGTTAAATAATTATTGGGTGTGTGGAGGGGTATTTCATGTTTTAGGGGTATAAGAGCAGAAAAACAACACCTGTTTTTTTTATATCTTATTCCCTTCATTAAAACAAACACTTTCTGTAAGTTTCTAAACAGGTGGTACTCCTTAAGGTGTTTTTTTTTCCTCCAACAAAAACAAGATCAGAAATTCAATCAAAGAGCAGAGCTCGGCCAATCACAGCACAGTGTCTGTGGCAACAGCAGCACAAGCACGGGCAGCCATTGGCTGGCTGCTCCACACAGGAAAGGCTGTGATTGGCTGCTGCGGCACCCGGGCTTCATTGCCTCCATGGCAACATTGCTTCCTTATTGCTTAGGGAAGGTGAAAAGGAGAGGAGGAGGAGGAGGGAAGGAGGGGAGGAGGGGAGGAGGGGAGGAGGAGGGGAGGAGACTCTCCCCCAGACACTACTACCTCTGCATTATTCAGCCTTTGTCCCTGTAGAACGCTCTGCCTGATGCATGTGTGTGCGCGTGTGTTTGACTGGCAACGATTGGCTGGGGCTTAATAGGTGAACAGGGGTGAAACCTTTGCAATAATTGCCCTCGGCAGTGCAATGCATCCAGCAACACCGCGTCTATATATAAAGCAACCAAATGAGTTTAAGAGTCCATTCTGGAGCCATTCAGCGTAATGACGACTTTAAACACCCCGACTGCCTCCGAGGCTTTACTGCACTGGGCGGACAAATAAAACCACGCTGGTGGAGAAACATCTGGACTTTCCACTGACACGCAACATCTTCATGTTGTGGCTGAGACCGGCAAGAAAATCATCTTCAAAGTCAGGAGAAGGAACCAAAAAAAAAAAAACCCAACCATGTGGCTTGTTTGTTGTTGTTGTTGTTGATGATGATGTTTGTTGTTAAGGGGAGGGGGATATGGGGTTGAAGGTGGAGTCAGCAGAGATGGGAAAAACATCACACAGAGATTAGGAGTGAAAAATGAAAAAATGGTGGGGGCAGTAGACGGTGCTCCTCCGCCGCCTCCTCCTCCTCCTCCTCCTCCTCCTCCTTCCTCTCCTCCATGTGTGTTCGTGAGCATGGGCGCAGGATAACGTCTGTTGACAGGCGTGTCGGTCTGAGAGCTGGCTGGCTGTTCCTCCGGTGGGTGAGGAGAGATGACGAGATGGCAACAGGCGCTGTGAGCATGTGCTCGCAGTTGCCATCGCAACCTGGCCTTGGATACAGCGTGTTGGTTGGCCCTTTCTCACTGTTGTTGTTCTGTGAGGCTGATGAAACCTCGTGGGTGAAGGGAGGGCCGGCGGTGCAGCAGCAGCAGAGCCTCAGTACCAACAAAGTGTTGCTAGGCACACCGCAGGGTCAGTTGGTAAACAAACACACAAACTCCACCAACCCTGGGCCGAACCCCAGTGACCTTTGACTTTGTGCCCTTTTCGTCACCTAAATACGTCCGATTAGAGAAGAAGCAGCACCAAGCCTCAGGGCAGATACCAGTTAACAACAACAATGTTTAATGGAATTAATCTGATTATTCCCATTAGGGTTGGTCACACGGGGGGTCATGACCCACTTTTTAGGTCACAGGCTTTGGTCGGTTGCATTGAGAGACTGGATGGATTTATCGTAGCTACTTTTGTAGAGCCTCGCAGCAAGTTTTCACAGCTCTGGGTTTTTAACTTTCAGTAGATTTGGAGCTCGATTTTTGTGTTTGTGGATTAACCTTAAGGTGAGAATCCAGTTGTAAAAATTTGCATTTGTGCCTTTTATTCATCAAAATCTTCTTTGTTAAGTTTTGTCCAAGGATTACATTTTACACCTAATAATAATAACACACAAAGCTAGGTTTGTCAAAATGTTTTTGGAGGTGTACAGCTCCACAAAGCTTAGCACTACACACAGAGAGCTGGTGATTGAATAAGAACTATTTAAACCCATGTAAACCCAAACATTGTAGTGTTTTCTTGCAAAACGTTTGACAGTTAGAAGATTTTACAATAAACACTAAAAGAACAACGCTGTGACAGAGCAAAAAAGTTATGGACCAGGTCTAGAAAAAGAGTTTGATATTTTTATTGGGGTATAGAAATACATTCGAGTTAATGTCTAGTTTTGGAACATTTAATTTAGTAACTTTCTAGGCGAAATAACACGATCATTCTCAGACAGCTTATCACGCAAGAAGGTATCTCTCTTTTTTGTTCATAAAGTTCTGACGAGATTGAACAACTTGAGCCAATAGGAGTCAGAACCTACTGGACAAAATTGATACTGCAGCTGGATCAGAATTTTTAGATAATGTTAAAAATGAGACTCATGTACAGTATCATTCAGCAGAGGGCGCTCTAAATAGAGCTCATCATTAAATCGCCTCTTTGCTAATCAGTGGAAACATTTTAGACACTCGTTTGTTGTTTGGCTGTTGGCAAGCAAGCACAACAGAGCACCAGAGAGGAAAAAATGTGACACAATTGGACACATGAGTTCATGACAGTTGACAGATAGCAATTCTTTTTTTTTCCCTCTTTTTTTTTAGTTTCTTCTCTTCTGGCCTCTGAAAACATGTCCCAATCCTGTTTTCTTCTTCAAGACTCCACACATGAGGCGGGGAACAAAGAAAAGTGTGGTGTGACCCTGAGTGGCCCGATCGATACGGCAAAGTGCTGAGCGTGCAGCCTGCTTGATGAGATCCTTCACACGTAACCGTGAAGCCTCTGCAGCGCACCATCACTGTGCAGCCGAGACACAGAGAGGAGACTGTGGCACCAGCCGCCGGGGCCGAGCTGACAGCGTGATTGATTACGAGTGCAGGTGCTCTTTGTTTCACCAATGGTAATCGGGACAAAGCTGCTCGGAGGCTGCGAGTGTACAAGGTGAGCGGCAGGACAAAATGTGCTACTGTGGGAGCACCCGAGAGATAAGGGGACCTAAATGTAAATTTTGGAGGAGGAGAAGAAAAAAAAAGAAGAAGAAGTAGAAAACCCAGACAAGACCCACCCAAAAAAGGTCGACATCCATCATTTTTATGACTCTTCAAATCCCTCCTGAATGCCAACTTCAATTTCCTCCAGCCTCTTAGCCATGGATATGACCAGCATTTTCATCTGGGAGGGAGGGGAGAGAAGAGGTTGGTTTTAGAAGAGGCAGTGGAATAAGGCTGAGAGATTTCCAGAATTAGAGGCAGGAGGATGTGAAGATGTGGATGGTAGATTTTGGGAACTGTGACGCGTTAAAAGAAAAAAAAAAAAAAGGAGGGGCCGTGAAAAAAAAAAAAAAAAAAAAAAAATAACAGGTGGGAGGCAGTCATTACTGTTCAAGGATGAACCATGAAGGAGAACGATAAAACCCAGGAGGGTGAGTATGAGAGGGTCAGGGTCAGTCAGTGCAAGAGGTGAAAAATCTGAACGGTGTCTGTGGGTCAGACAAACAGACAGAGTCTATGGTGGTGGTGTGGAACAAGAGTGACATCATCCAATATTTTTTTTTTCTGTACGTGCACAAATTATTTTTTAAAAAAGGAAATATTTTCCCATCATAAAAATCTGTATCAAAATAAAATAATTGAGGCTACAAATCTGGCTATTTTCATTTAATTATATTTGGATTGTCACTAATTTCTGTGGTTAATTGATTTATCCCCTGGTGGATTTTAATAGCTCCTGTAGCCTCAGGTGCCGTCTGCAAATTCAACCACTGGAATATTCAACATAGATTTATGGAAAGGAAAGAAATCATCAGAGATAATTGAATTAAAGCTGATTTCGGGTCTTATTGTCTAAAAAAAAAAAATACAACTTTTACGTGTGGGGTAAAAAAATGTGAGGGTAAAAAAAATTTAAAGCCGTAAATATGGCTCCAAATTACAATGCTGTTGTTATTGCGTTTAAATGCCTTTTCATAGTAAGGAATGTGTTTTTGTTTTGATTTTTTTTTAATCACATCTCTGTGTGTCTCTTCAGTGTGTGGCCTTAAATCAGATCAGATCAGATCAGTTTTCTGAAATGTATTCATGGAATCTTCATGAGAATTCTGTTATCGCTCTGGTGGAGTCATGCAGCTGTGCTGAGGAGTTAAACTGATGTTATATCTTTAACCGCCTGGAGCAGCGGTGTCGCCAGGAGCAGTCAGGAGCAAAGATTTACAAGTGCATGCTGTAAACACACACACACACACCCATACGTCTGGTATCATGAGTTGTGAGTGCTTCACATAGACTTAATCTAACCCTAATCCCAACTCAACCTTAAAACTACACTGACTATAGTATACTCTACTATAGCATACCACACATGCGCATATTCATAAATATATATACATTTATAAATATATGTATATACATATAAATATATGTATATACATATATATATACACACAAATACATACATATATTAGATCGTTAACACGGCAAAAATAGGCAAAAAAAACCAATGTACGGCCGTGCGAATGTAAACGTTGTCAATGATGAATCTGAAACTAGTCCTAATTGAATCACGGGGCCGGTCATCTCAGCAAATCTCTTCCGAGACCTCAGCTCTTGGCCAATCAATGAAGAAGACAGTGACATGACGTTGTTTCGGAGGAAGTAAACTGTAGCTCAACCAACAGGTGCATTAAAGAAGCAGCCAACATTCGCATATTTGTGGTTGTGGTAGTCAACAGTGACCCGAATTTCTCTTGTGACATGTAGCCTTGGTTCTGACTTGCTCTGTGAAGCAGTGACGGCCTGTGTCATGACAGCTGTTGATATTATTTATTGCAGCACAATCACAAGATCGTCAAGACTTTTGGCAGCGTGGCCTTAATTAGTCATACTTTTTTTTTTCTTCTTTAATCACGTTTGTCAGTTTACTACTTCTACTTTTGTTCAGTGGAAATGTTTCACCCTCAGCTGATTTATGCTCAAAGCTGTTTTCTTGTTCCCACATTATTTTTAAACCAGACGATCAAAGGACTGATTTAAAACTTGTTTTAACATGTTTAAAGAGACGCCTTTTTAAAAAAACGTTCAATTTGATACAGCTTAGTTATTATCAACCCTTCAAATGTATTTATTTTACAGGTTTGATTTTTTTTTTTTGTATGGGCCAAATTGTTGGTACATAATTTATTGTTGGAACTATTTTTTTTTTTATCATGAGTTGGTACATAATTTATTGTTGGAACTAATTTTTTTTTTTTAATCATGTAAATACAGTGTCTGTCAATGACTGTCTTGATTTACTGTGTAGTTCAGTTTAATAAACTAATGATTTTAACTGCAAAAAATATAATCATCACATTTATATTCAAGATATTTGAAGATCGAGCTCGTCACGTATCCCAAAGGTCTGACGAGCAGTTTCGGAAATGAGTAATAACTGAGTGCATTTTTCTTTCCTGTAATGACGAAATTAAAACTTATTAATGGAATAATTTGTGACACAGTGCAGCCTTTGTTTCTGGAAAAGTCCTTTCTTTCACAATGCAATTTAAGTTTTCCGGTACATGTGTGTGGGCAGGGGTTTTGCAATGTGTCGTGCCTTAGTGAGCAACTAATTGTTCTTGCGCACGCACAGTTGTGAATCATCAGCAAAAAAAATAATTAAATAAAATAAAGTCAACTTCTTAACAAAAAATATATATTTCGTCTTTTCGAAGCTTCGCCGGCATATTTGTCCGGTCTGGAAGATTGATTAACTTTCTTGCCAAACGGAAAAGACGTACTAGCTTCTGGTCAACAACAGAGGCCAGTACTACGCATACCAGATTCTGGTGAAGTCTTTAATGCCACCTCCAGACTCTCCGCTGACATACTCGTGCATCAAACAGGACCATAAGGACTCATATATTGCTAACAGCAAAAATTAAACTAATGCCGTGTTTTACTTTAAGTTGCATTTGGTTCATTATGCTACTAAAGCCCACACTAACTACTGTGGACATGTTGGAAAGTCGTAATTTGTCTGTAGCATAAGTACGGAAGCTTAGCTTAATTAAATTAAATTAACTTTTTTAGAAAAAAAGACGGAATGCTATAGGGCTCCAGCTTGTGTCAAAGGAGTCCGTTTGTTAACACTTTTCGTGACTCTTAAACCACGGTGTTGAATAAAAAGCAAAAGATTCAGACCATTGAAGTACGTACCGTATGAAGTACATTAACAGAGAAACATCAAACATCAAGTCATTAAAAACCACTTTAGCTACTGGTTTGTCTGGAAACTCGTATGTGTGTTAAATACTGACTTCAAAAAAGAAAATTAACCCCATAGTTAGCACAGTGAAACACCGGAATATTCGGAAGGTATGACAAGCCAACTAGTAATTTTGAACAAGACGTTAACCTAAGCTCAATAAATACCTTTGTTTTATTGGCCAACAAGCATGCTAGGCCAAAAACTTAGGTTGTCAGAAATGGCTTTAAAAAACACATCAAAAACCGGTCTTTTTTTTTATTGTATGAGTAGAGTAACCTTTCCAACAAGAACCTTAATGATGCAACTGATTTTCTTCAGAAGTTACACAACTTGGGGTGAAAAGAGCGTTGCATAACATGATCGGATGAAGGGGATAATTACATGTAACTGTAGCAAAAAAGTCATCGTCAAAATAATGTATGGCATGTTATATGTACTGTATTTATACGCCCACAAGGCACACCCACTTCCACACGGTGTTTACCATCCACTTTGTGACACACATGGCTCTTTCTGTCTGAGCCGGTTTGACTGGTATGAAATATACTGTTGTATAGTAAGAGGATAGTAAATCTGATCTGTCAACTGAAACATTACAGGAGCCGCAGTCAGATGAATACAATTTTATATATCAATATTTCACAAAAATATTTCAAAAAGCAGGGTGTTACCGTGGGACGTGTGGCCACATTTAGTGTCTCCGGGCTGAGTACTAACATTTCTGTCATGTTATACAACATCTTTGACTGGTCTCATGTGGAAACCAGAGATGTAATAAATGTGGCCTTTTGAAGTTATGTGTGGAACTCCAGACATTTACTCAAGGACCGATTTACAGTGTTCAGATCAAATATCTTGATTTTGCACGGTGCCCACTGCGGTTACAACTGTGCAGTTTGGTCTGTCCTATGGTTTTTTAGCCAGCTGCTCACAGACTTGCATGTTTCACTACTCACTGTGTCTCACTGTCCACAAACTGTAGACAGTTTATTTTAAATAGGTCAACAATGTCGAGGGTCTGGTGGTATTTTCACATCAGGGACAAGACGAGAGCAAAATGTACGACTTGTTGTTACGATACAAGGGCTTTAAAGGAACACCTGACGTCTGTTCTCAGTTCACAGTGAAAACATGGCATCGTGTGTGTTAATTTGTTTCTTATAATGTGGATTAGTTTTACACAGTTTAAGTGACACCGTTTACCAGACTGCAGGGGAGAGTGGTTTTAAATGTAAACGCGTTATTGGTTTACTGTAAAAGTACACCAAAAGGTGTAAAAGCTCTGCTCACTTTCTGGATCGGTTTGCTTTTTTAATCTATGCAGAAAGTTTAATTTTGTTTTTACGTATTTTATCCTTTTTAGTGACATATTTTGACTTTTTTCCTTTAATACGGATATATTTTTTCCTTTTTTGATTGAAATAGTTTTCTGTTTATGAAAAGAAACAAATATTGTAAATATGCAAATATTTTCTTGTTTATTGCATCATCCTTAACAGCCAACTTTAAGAAGCACAGGTGAGGGTGCTTCGTGTTAGTGAGTACACAGACAGAGATAAGAAGATAAAAGTACTCCATATTAGTCAACTCTACTTGTGTGACTTTTTAAACAGAAGTGACTGTGTTCATTGCATAATAACATGGAAAAACACATGTCCTTTCTTTCACAATGCATTTTCCAGTAACATGTCTGAAGTCGCTATCCATCTCCAGATAGATGGGATAACAGTTGGAAAAACTGACGTCATTATCTACTGGAGAATTTCTGGAAAACGCACCGACTCGCAGACGTGCATCTTCACTGCTTCACTTTACAACCACATTTGGAACCTGATACCTACATCCGTGTCTCATGTATGGACTATGGCTTTTACACAGAGGCACTGCCTCCATTAAATACAGTGCTTCTGCTGCTCTTTGTCTAAAATGCAGCTTGTTCTCCTCCAGTATTACATTAGTTCATCCACTGGACTCCATTGGTTATTGACTACAACATGGTATGAGAGAGATTGAAGGTTTTATCTATCAGAAAATATATCATTATTAATATTATATATTATATTTTGGGCCAGATTTCTCAGCCCTAGCTCAAAGCCACTGAGCCTTTTATTATTATTATTATTCTTTGTGAGGTTTAATTAGGGGCTTCCAAAATTTTGAATGAAAGCCCCTTAAATGTGGGTTTCTTAGCCTAAAACTGTGGGAACTACTGCTATAAATAACATGCAGCTCCACTAACAAAGAAATCATGGTCAAAACATGTTTTTCTCTCACAAAGATTCCTCAACATGCTCGCTTATTGTGAGTGCGGGAGAGGTTGCCTGCCACTGCCCCCTACTGGCTATTTGGGGTATAGCGGGATATTTTTTTATTTAAACAAAGGATCATTAAGAATAATTTGGTGGCTCGGGTAAGAACATGTGACCTCCCTCCGGATTTTCATACCAATGATAATGAAGTGATGAAAAAAAACACTAGAGGAATGTTGGATGTGAAATTTCATTATGATAAAACAGGTGGATTGCGTTTGTCAATACCGAATCCTACAAAAAGGTACTAATGGTATTGGAGCCGCTGGTCTGTAAGTAGAGGTGATGACATGACGTGGTGAGGTCATGTCTGATACAATGGTCTGCCAATCACAGCACTCAAGGTTTCCCAGAATGAAGCTGATGTCATTGTTAGCTCAACCTGTGCATCAGTAATCAATGAGAGAAAATGGAGCTCCGTGACATTTACTGCCTGCAAATCAATGCCACAAAGGGAACGGTGACTCTGGATGTTCCGTGACGTAACTTTTTTTATCTTTTAATTACTTTTACATAATTAAGAAGAGAGCTTTAAGATGATTGGTCTTCACTCGGGTCTGGAAAAACAGACACCGTTATTGTCTGCAATGAGTTTTCCAACGATATTGAGCTGAGCCTGTGGAGGATTTTTATCTCGCAGCAGGGAAATATGGGAAGAGAGGAGGCGAACAAAGAGAAGCAACGGCGATAACTCACCTTTGAAAGCTCCTGTTCAACAGTCTTTCTGTACTCCAGTGTGAGCAGCTGCTCTTTGGGGCCCTCTGCTGCCAAAGTCTGGCTCGCCGAGCCGAGCATGTAGCTGAAAAAGACACACGGTTGCTAAGAGTTGGCTGGAAAACACAGACAGATTTACAGATGTTTACAACTTTCTATTAAAGTAATTACAGATGTTTACAACTTTCTATTAAAAACCCAGATTTTACATAGTATTAATATTTTATAATCATTTATTGACCATTTTTATTATTAGTATTAATCCAGAATCAGCAAAATAGGGCAATATTTTGATAAATACAATAAGATTAAGTTACATTTAACAAAAACTGGAAAAATGTGTGCCATATGAAGAATATTACATAAATAATTTAAACTGGTAAATAAACACTGATAACAAATGCTAGTTGACTGTGACTTTTGTATAAAAGTAAGAAGATTTTTTGCACAAATTAACAACGCAAACACACCTGTCAATGTCAGCCACGTTGAAACAGAAAGCAAATCTCTTGTGGTCCAGATTCTTGGGAGTGGACCTGTAAATCATACCGAGCAAAGTGTGGCAGCCTCGGCAGAAAAGGTCTGTGACCAGACTGTGAAAGAAATAATTTTATCAGTTTATTCCACTGACTACACAAAAGGTTATCCCAAACATTTTGTCTGATGTGTCAATAAATCTTTCTCACCACGGCGACTCCTTTCCTGCTTCATAAAGTCGGCTTTCTTTTCCAATCTTGACATTTTCAGTGACACCTGGGGCAAAAACATCAACATAATGTATAATAGAGCAAAAAATAAATACATTTTTTATTTATGCTTTATTTTGGAATATGCATACAGATTAAAAAATGACTTCGATTCTGTGCAGCTTACTTGAGCAAAGGACTGTTGCTTCAATAGTGAATGAATGAAACAAGAAAAACAAGCATTTGGAAAAAACACGAAAAAACAAAAACAAACGCAAACAAACAAGCGCCTTGATGCCAAAGAAGTCTTAAATTATCGGTCATCATGTCAGTGATCTGGCGCTCTGACATGACGTCTACTCACAATACAATCTGTTATTTCTTTTTAACTTCTTTTACTTTACTTTCTTTTAGTCAGGTCTCTGATTTGCAACCTTCTCGAACATTTTTTGACTTACTGGAAATAGTTAACCGTTCAAAACGTGCTTACATGGACACTTGTGTGTCATGTGTCAAGGTTTAGAATCCTGACTTACTTTTCAGTCGTATCTGGTTTTGTTCGTCCTCACTTCCGTCCCAGGACATGGAGTCTCCGACAGGTAACTTGCATTTTCCGCAGATAAAGACAACATGTCCATCGGTGTCTTCGTTGTCCGATCCAAGCAGTTGCTCCTCGACCATTTCTGCGTTAATGCTGGACGCTTCAAATGTGGCGTTCGTCTTCCTGGAGTTGTGTTTAACGATGTTCCCTGAAACCACAACGGGCTCAGCCTTATTCGGCTGAAAACCGCTGCTCCCTAATTTCTGCCGTTGTTTGGGCTTTGAGCAGTTTACTCTATCCGCCATCTTCACCATCTAGACCTTTCAAACGTTGGCGGGCAGTTCAGTCGTGGGTTTTAACTACTATGTACTTCCGTTTTCGACATTTTGCTTTACTGTGTTTTCGAAATATATTTACATGTACACAGCGTATTTACATGCACTGGGCTTCGAAATGCGTGATTTGTGTACAATACTGACGCTAGATATAAGGTAAGTTAAAAGTATAAATATTTATAATATATAATTTATACATATACTTTATTATTTGTACAGTATGTATATATTATATGTATTTACAAATATTCGAGAGCTAAATATTCGAGAACACGAGACATATTTTCTCTACAAATTTATAATCGTTTCAAGGTGACGTTTCAGTCCGATTTCAAGCGGAACTTGGACGATAACTATCTTGAGATGGATTTTATCTTTGAACCGGAACGACTATAACGCTAAAATGTAGAATTTTTTAAAAATCGTTATTTTAATACCTTTTTTTATTTTAATGAATTACGTAGTGTTTACGTATAAAATAAATCGATATTTAAGCAAGTAAATTTGACATGCATGTCTTTGAACGTAACCCGGAAGTAAAAAGGACTGTTTTCAATTTATCGGCGCGAACAAGAGGGCATGTTGTTTTGATTTTCATTGAATCGGTAGATTTGACAGCACTTTGGTTAAATAGCAGTACGTTACTTATGCATCATGTGTGAAAAGATGAAGAAGGCAAGGTTCTTTAGTTGATGTCTGACATGACTCTTTCTGTGCGATCGCGTGACTTATTTAAAATTGTGACTCTTTCTGTGCGATCGCGTGACTTGTTTTAATTTTTCCTCTTTTTGTGATTACTAAGGTGAACATCTGGCTCAGCTCAGTGTTTGGAGATCAGCTTGTGCCTCAGTTCGAGGTAAACACCAGGACGGTAGACATCCTATACCAGCTGTGTGAATCAAGTGAAGCTCGATGTAGTGAAATATCTCTGCTCATAGACGACCTCAAACAAAAGACGACAGAATATCAGGCTGACGGTGAGAACCCGATTTGGTCTGGATTCTTCTTGTGACTTGTTTTTGTTGCTCATCATATTTGCTCCACTTTTTCATGTGGTTAATTTAAATGTTACCCAAGTTTAAAGGCAAATGTTTTCACCCCCAGCTTCCCATCTCCAGGATGTTCTCCTCCAAGCCACAGGCCTCTCTTCTGCCGGTTTGTCCAAACCTGCTGCTGATTACCTCTCCGCTTTAGTGGACAATGCAATGGTGCTGGGTGTGAAAGACACGTCTCTGGCCAGGTTTGTTGTGGTGGCAAATTTGGAGTGAGTTTTCTGCTCTCATTCTCAAAAGTCTTTTGGTTTTTTTTTAATCTTCTGTGTAGTTTCTTGCCAGCAGTGAACAACTTGACCAACGAACATCTGGAAGCAGAGAAGACACACAGGAGACTGGAGAGGGAACTGAAGGCTCTCAGGAAGAAACTGGCGGACACTCTGGTGCTGCACAGCAGTTTACAGGAGTAAGTGTCACGTGAGACTGCAAAATATACAACTACCAAAACATTTTTAATCGTTAAGACCATCACAATTATTTCTAATTCGGGAAAATTCCAGAACCTCAAATATATTTCTCTTTCTCTTTTTTTGTTCACTCATTCACTAAGAGAAAACAACATAGTGTCCCTGTCTTCTACTGATTTTTTTAAAGTAAATTTCAGCTTGTTGTAGAGTAAATATTACACATATAAAAAAAATAATAAAATGTTGGATAAAGTTTGTCAGCCCTAGAGACATTCACATTAAACCATCAGGTAACAGCTACAGGATTTTGCCAGTAATCAGTTTGTTCTTTGTTTTTTTAGGGACGTCAGCAAAGCAGTTAAAGCCCAGGCGTTGGAGAGCGCTAAAGCAGAGGAGAGGCTGCTCAACATGGACTTTGTCAAGGCAAAAACTAAAGAGCTCAGCAACAGACGAGAGAGGGCAGAGGTAAGAAGTTAGCTTTTAAAAAAGCACTAATCAAATCACTAATTTAATGACTGAGTAATAGAATTCAAAAACTTTCAGACATTTTCTTTTTAAAAATCCTGATTGCAGATGGTTAAACAAAGCTTTTACAAACATCTTCTCATCAACCCTCCAGGCTCAACTCTTATCCAGGAACATGGACAAGTCCATCACCCACCAGGCCATTGTGCAGCTGGCTGAGGTACTGAGAGCTTCTGCCCCACAGTGGTCACCATGGAAATGATGACGTGATACTGAATATCTACAAGTCTGCTTCCAGGGTTTAGTCGGTGTCATCTTATTTTTCTCTCTGCAGGAAGTCAACACGCTGAAGAAAGAAATAATCCCGTTGAAAAAGAAACTGGATCCTTACATGGACCTCAGCCCGGTGAGTTTGGTTTCAGATGAGTCTCCTGGGCTGCGTCCACGTTAGCGGGCTAAAATTACTCAGATTTACGTACTGTTTCCTGTCAAAGTTTCTCATTTTATTTCTTTTATATCCCGACTAAAGGTTACCCTGAGTAGACCTAAAAGTTAGCCAAAAAAAATGACATATCAAACAGTAATAAATAATAACTTAGATCTATTAAATTTGTCAAATGTCAGTAACTAATTCATTATCTTGTGTTTATTTTTCTATTTATCTTTCACCCCAACCAGAACCCTTCACTGGCTAAAGTGAAAATAGAAGAAGCTAAAAGAGAACTGGTGAGTGGTAAATAAATATTCAATGTAAATATATTGGGTTTTTTTTAAAAACTGTTTTCGCTTTTTCCCAATTACAGGCTGCACTCGATTCCCAGTTTGATATGAATGTGGATTTTAAATAAAACAAAAATATTGTAAAAGTTGTGTTGAATAAATTCAGTTAAATCTGAAACTTTTGTCATGTGTGGTTTTTTCACCCCCATTAAGTCCAGAACACAGTTCTGACTTTGACAACAAAATTCCACAGGCTTCAGGGGGACGACTGCTGATGAAAGGGGGTCTTCAGGGGCCACTCACTCCTGAATGGAATACGAAGCTAAAGTGCAGCAAACATGAAGGAGGACACTTTTAGTTTGTATGCAAAATACCTCCTCACATCCCCCCCCCACCACCACTACCACCTCCATATGGATCAGAGCGTGGAGACCCCGACGTCTCTTGTCGTCCTCACTGTTGTAGGTCTGGGCTCTGGGATTGAGCCGTTACCCTGGAGCGGGTCATGGATGGGGGGGCGAGGTGGGGGGGCAGGAAGCAGTTTACTCAGCGGGGCCCCAGCTTTATTCAAAGACCCCACATTAAGGACATCAGCGTTTGGCACAAAAAAAGTCAAAGCCAGTCAGTTACACTTGACACAGTTTAAAAAGTTTTTGGGGAAGAAACACTGACTCCCCACTGAGGCCCACAGACCCCACACGGACCGAACGACACTTGATCAATATTTTATATAATATTTGTACCAGTAATGAACTGACAATGTTGCCACAACAATGTTTGCAAATGTAAATAAAGATGAGCGTTTTTAGTTAACGATAATAGCTATTCTAGCTATTATTAATGACCTGTTTTGAATAAGTCAATAATGCCTTTATGCTAGTTCTTTGCTATGTTTTTGCGAACTTTTGGCTATTATATAATTGTTGTTATAGCCTACTCGTTTTTTGGTTTCCCGTTATGAATTTATTTTTTCTTCTTTTTTTTTTTTGCTTTATAATCGGTTAATCGGTTAAACTCTGGATTGTTGTGCTGATCAAATGGTCAAATGCAGAGAATGAGAGAATATTTTTAAGTAAACAATTTTTTTTT